GCAAGTGGAAGTCAGTCCCATTAACGGCTTCTGTTTGCTCTCAAGTACACTGTTAAGATCTTTTGCTGCGGGAAAGGGGGAAAGTGGGGGGGGGGAGGTTGGAGAGAGTCGGGAAGGTTTGAGACACCTTCATGCTGAATGGGAGAGCAAGCTGACTAACATTCTGTTTTGTAAGTTATAAATCTTTGACTAGCAAGCTGCTTTGTAAATTAAAAGTCCAAATGTTAAAGCTGGCCAAATGTCAGTTGAAATTATTTGGAATTGTTCCACCAGCAAGAGTCATCATTAAAATTTGTCTCCATCGTTTCAATTTAGGTTTCAATGTGGAGACGGTGGAATATAACAATATCAGCCTCACCATCTGGGATGTCAATAGCCATTGTAAACACAGACCTATGTGGAGACATTATTTCAAGGACACCAAAGGTAAGGATTATCCAGTCCACAGCCTTGGAGCCATTTATATTAAATGTATCTAAAGATGCATGCTTGAACCCAGCCGGTGTGGCTCAGTGGTTGAGTGTCAACCTATGAACCAGGAGGTCACGGTTCGATTCTCAGTCAGGGCACATGCCCGGGTTGTGGGCTCAATCCCCAGTAGGGGGAATGCAGGAGCCAGTCAACCAATGTTTCTCTTCTCTCTCACATTGATATTTCCATCTCTTTCCCTTCCTCTCTTTCTAAAATAAACAAAAAATGTATTTTTAAAAAATGAGAGATTAAAAACCATTTCTTTGTATATTTCTCTGTATATTTTGTATAATCTGGTGAAGGGCTATGATGCTTCTGAAAAAGATAGGTTAGTTGGTGTACAGTACACTTCCTAACTCTCGGGATTATGGATTCTTCCATAGGATTGCTTTCCGTGAAAACACACATGTGAGCAGGGAGAAGCTGTAAGGAGATATAAACAGCTGCCATTTCCAGGTTCAGATGGCTAACATGCTGGTGATTTCTCTCCAGGTGTGATTTTTGTGGTCGATAGTAACGACAGAGAACGGATCAGTGAGGCCCAAGAAGAACTAACCAGATTGTTAATGGAGAATGAGCTCATGGATGCAGTCTTGTTGGTGTTTGCAAATAAACAGGTATGTTGTTGGCTTTCTGAATACTGGAACTGGAATTTACTGCTAGTTGATCACTTAAAACTAATAGATATTTAAATTAGATGTCTGCCTCTCTCTCTCTCCAGTCCCTACCATAACCTCTCCCTCCACCTCCTTTATAGCATATGTCTTATATTCACTCATTCATCCACTCAACAAATATTCATTGAGCATCAAAGTTCCAGTCGTTGTTTTAGGGATTGGCGATAATATCAGTGAACAAGACAGACAGAAGTCTCTGTGTTGATGGAGTTTACATCCCAGTGGGAGGAGAGTCAGTGAGTACATAGTATGTAATGTGTCTGGTGGACGTGTTGTGGAGGAAGGTTAAGCAGAGAAGGGGCAGAATGGATATGGGGAGGGGCCAGGATGCCTCTCTGATAAGATGACATCTGAGCAGAGACCTGAAGTCCAGCAGGAAGGGAGCCTCAGGGTTCCAGGAACAGCAAGGCAGCCAGGGACACTGGAGCAGAGTTGGGGGTGGACAAGGGAGGGAATGATTAGATCTCATGGGGCTCTCACTGAGGAGGAGATGTAATATAAGCTGTAAAAGAGTGGGAGGAGGGCCCGGTGTAGAACAGGACTCGAAGCTGAACTAAGTATGGGAAAGAAGGTGGAATCATGTGCAATGTACCAGCCTGAGATAACGACAGTTACCTTTGGGTATGTTTCCTCCCACTCTCTCCTCTATGAATATATTCATTTTAAAATTGAAATCGTACTGTTTTGACAGTGTTGCATACTGTTTTGTCACTTCAGATTTATCGAAAGCATTTTCTCTTGTCATTCATCTCTTTGTAAACGTGATTTTAAAGGGCGAATGGATCATCATTTACTCAACCAGGACCCTACTGTTAGGTTCGATGTCAGTCCAGAATTTCACTAGTGAACATAGTGGACTTTCAAAAAAAAAAAAGAACAGATTTATTGTTTTAATTATAAAAGCAGAATATGTTCATGACATAAGTATGCAAACAGTTCAGAATATCAAGTGAAGTGAAATACTTAGCCCCACTCCTCAGGGTGAAACATTGTTACATTCCTTACCTCTTTCCAGAGGTAGAACTTTCTATGCCTATATAAGCAGTTAAATGATTATATTCACATTGAAATTGTGGAGATCATAGTCTGCATTCTGTTTGGCAACCTGCCTTTTTCAATTAGCATATCTTTGACCAACCTTCCATATCAATACAACGGATCTACCTTGTTCTGGGGACTCTGACCCCCAGAGAGAGTGAGCTGTTGCAGGATTCTGATAGAAGAATGACTTGATCTGATTTTAATTGACTGTTAAGAATAGACTTGAGGGGAGCCAGAGCAGAAGCAAGGAGACCAATAAGGAAGTTATGTAGGTAATCCAAGTGAGAAATGATGGTGGTGGGGTTAGGGTGTAGCTGTGAAGGTGAGGTGAGAAATGGTCAGATGCTGAATATATTTAGATGGTAGAGTGTGTAGGATTTCCTACTGTGGAGTTGTGAGAGTGAGAGAGAGAGAAAAAATTAAGGATGATTTGAAGGTTTTGGGCCTGAGCATCTGGAAGGCTAGAGTTGCCATCAGCTGAGATAAGTCTGTGGGTTGGGGCAGGTTTGGGGAGAAGAGCATGATATATATATTTTTAAGAGCATGGTATTTCATTATATGAATGCAACATTATAAACTGACTTTTGAATATTCTCTTTCAAGGATGTTCCCAATGCTATGAGCACAGCAGAAATAACAGACAAGCTTGGCTTACAGTCTGTCCGCCGGAGAAACTGGCACATTCAGGCTACCAGCGCCACCAGTGGAGACGGGCTTTACGAAGGCCTGGACTGGCTCTCCAACCAGCTTAAGAACCAGAAGTGACTGGAAGCAATTCATTCCTGTGCATCGTGGCGAAACCAGCGGCTTGTGTGTGTGCAAGGAGCAAGTGTGGATGTGTGGCTGGGCGTGGGGCGGCTTTCTCACACTGTGCCTTGTATCTGCTATAAGAAATCCAGCGTTACATTTTGTACACTACCTCCTATTTCAGTAGCCTTGATGATCATCTCTACAGTTGATGGAGGAATCCTGAGGGCTGTTGGGTGCACAGGAGCCAGAGTGACCTTCATGGTAGAAAGGAGAAGGGTTGCTGGCATGAGGACCAAGGTCATTTGTGAAGCCCTGGACCTGGCGTCTCTGCATACCCAGGACCCTGTTAGACTTTAGAGTCTACGAAAAGGGAGGAACTGGCATTCTTTCCCATCCCTGCCAGAGCTAGATGCTCACTATTCAGTGCTTTCAAGCAAAAGGCGCTTGCTTACCACAGGTTTGAAGTTCAGATTGGAACCTTTCCCTTCAGCTTCAGCCTAGCCCAGACTTCCCGGTGTAACATACTTTATTTCAAGGAGTCAGTGATCTTTTTCACTAGAGTATCCAGACTACATGAACACTAGAGAATTATCCAGTCCTCCCCTTGTGCTAGTTCCTTCCTTGATTTGCATTTTTTTTTTTTTTTGGCCAAAATGGAGGCCATTTTGGGTAGTAACCCAGCATGAGGCTAAAGCTCTTTGCTGGGGCCACAGTTGAGTGAAGGGTCTGGAAAAGAAAGCAAGGTGACAGTCATGTTTGTGTCCTTGCATCACCCTCTCAGGTTTCAGGCTCCTGAGGCTGCTGCTCTCGCTTCTCTGCTCTGTGCTGAATGTTCTACGCTCTCAAAGCAGGAGGTTATGAATTAATCATCACCATGTACAGTATCTCAATCCAACTTCCGGTTTGGGCTAACACCTGTGAGTTATGAGAGTTTGTGAGAGAATCAAGAGGTTAATTTGGGGGACAATATTCCCCTCAACCTCTGGTATCTATTGCCTCTTTGTTAGTGCAAAATTTCGCCCTTCTGGTAATGTCTGGCCTACACAGCTGTCCATGGTACTGACTCCCTCTTCTGGATGGTGGTAATGTCTTACATGGGAACATGCTTTATGTTGTCAAAATGTTAATGAAAATGGCCTGGAGATGGGCTAGGTTCTCTCAGTAGTCTCGAGCTCTTTTGCTCAGACATCTGTTGGCCAAATTTGTACACGTTTCCACTACTTTACCTTTCAAAGTTCCTTTAAAAAAAATCTATTGAGATTACAGGGATGAATTTTAATAAAGGTGAATTTTAAGAAAAGTAAACCTTGTTTATTGATAACAATGAAGTTGATATTACTGGGGAGAACTTGCATACCATAACAAGTGTAGGTGTAATGTTTTTCTTTAAAATGTTGGCTTCAAAGACTGTTCATTGCAATATTGTCAACTAAGTCCAGTTTTGCTTGTTTAACCACAGAGTAATTCCTGAGAAATGTTTAGATTCTATGTTTAAATTGGCTAGGACTGTGTCTTACACTTGTGTATTTATGCTTAGTACAGTGTACTTAGTACAGTGCTAGGCTTCACTGAACACTGTCGATTGGTTGAACAATAAAAAGCTTGCTTTGGAAGGAAGAGAAGGCGGCCATGTACTTCTGAATGTCTTGAACTACTTTAAAATCCCTCCTTTTCTATCTTAGCTGACTTTCTATTGAAAACTCACAGGTCACTTGTACAAAAGACAGCCACAGGGGTACTCTCCTGGCCCTGGGCCTTTAGCAGTACTGGTACTTTCATGACAATTCCAACTGCAGTCTTTGTCTTTCAGTGATTTTGGTGAGTTGGGGTAAGTGGGGACACATTAGTATAGTGGCTTTGAGCAGACACTTGGGCCCCTGATAGCCATATTCACATCCCAGAGGTGTCCCTCACTAGCTGCTGGCCTCAGGCCAGTTACTCTCAGCCTCCTTGTCTCTGAGCCTCAGTTTGCTTAACTGTTAAATGGGAATAATACCTGTTTCAAAGGGTTGTGGGGATTAAATGTCTCAGGCCTTTGTGTGCCTTGCTTTGGTGTTTCTCTGGGGCTATCTTGATGCCCGAGTGTAAACAGCAGTGCTGGCCACAAAGTAATCAGCCTTATTTATAGGAAAAGTGGAGTGGGGTAGGGACTATGCTTAATCTCTCCTGCTCTATTCACCTAATCCTGCTCGCTGCTGTCCTATTCTAACCATGCTAAGTGCTAAGGCCAGCTGGGATGCGTGTTTAGGAAAGCCCAGTGCTGTGTCCCACCCTCACCTTTTTTCCTTTTTAAAATTCTGTGTTTAGTATATTCACAGAGTTGTACAACAGCTACAACTAATTTTCAATTATTTTTATCATCCCCAAAAGAAACCCATTCCTCTCTTCCCCTAGGTCCCCAGCAACCACTAATCTACTCTGTGTCTATGGATTTTCCTGTTCTGGGGAGGGGAGGGGTTTGCTGGGTGCTTTAGGAAGTGCTGAGGTGCTGTTGGCCTGACCACAGCGCCGTTCTGAGGCCTCAATCTTAGTTACAGAGGAGGCAGAGCCCCAGGGAAAAGACTGCCCCATAGTTAGGCAGCTGTGACATTTATTACCTCGAGAGGGAAAGGAGTGTGACTAATAAGACACTAATAATTTCACAGGGACAACAGGTGTAAAGTGAGATGTACGGTCCCCTATTGAAATGGCCAGAGCTCTGAGTGTGGAATCAAAGGCTGAGGCTGAGATTAGAGCTCCACCCACCCACTTGCTGGTTTCAATTGGGCTACTGAACCTCTGACCCTTGATTTCCATGCCTAGAAAGGAAGTTCCCAGGCTTACCTGGGGTACAGCTCTGTGAATACCAAGAATATGGGCTAATGGGGGGCTCCATGCATCAATCCTATATATTGCAGATCATGTACTTTGATCTATTTTGAATAATGCCTTCACAGGGCTGAGAATATTTGCATGTGAGCTGCTCAGGACATGAGGGTTTACATTTTTCCTGTAGAAGTAGGTCTCAAGTGAGGTATGACAGACACCCTCTCATGACCCGAGTTCTCGGTCCACAGGCAGGTGGTAGAAGTTGTCAAATAGCACACATCAAATCTGATGATATGCTTTGGAGATACTTTTTCCTTGAACATTTTTATATTCTTTTCACCTTTTTTTTGGTATTAGCTTTACTGAATTATAACTCGCATACCATACAGTCCACCCATTTAAAAGTGTATACAACACAGTGGTTTTTAGTATACTCATAGATTTGTGCAACCGTCACCGCAATCAATTTTGAGAACATTTTCATCACCCTGAAAATAAACCCCAGGCCCTTTAGCAGTCACTCCCAGTTTCTTTCATACCCCCAGCCCTAGGCAACCACTAACCATGGATCAATCTCCTTTCTGTCTCTGCGGATTTGGTGGGACGCTTTGAAAAAACTTTGCTTTTGCGCCACCTTGTGGTCTCTGAGGAGCCATACACGAAGAACTTGTCTATTTTGATTTTCATTTGTTTACTCTAACGCATGGCGTGGGAAAGCCTCTGGGAGGATGCTGTGGCACACGCAAGCACTGGATGGACCACACAAGCATTGGACAAACCACGGAAGTCGGTGACCCTCCAAGGTGTTCAATCTTCAGGCTAGCTGCTAATGTGGCTGGTAAATAGATTGCCACTGGGTGGTGCTCCTTACTGCTCCATGCCACTCACCTACACGCAGCCCTGGCTGGGGTGGGCCACGGGGATTCCCAAGTGTAGGAGAATCCATCATTTTGCCTGGACACCGGGAGTGACTTAGGAAACAGGGACTACAGCCAAGGATATGCCTGGAAGAGAAAGGCAAAGTAGGTACCCGGAGCAGAGGACTTGTGAGTGCCAATAATAATCACCTCCACAACGCAGTCATTGTTACTATTGATTGAGCATCCTGGACACTGTTCTAGGCACTGTACACAGATCATCGCTAACCTTCACCCCTGGAAGGCATGTGTATTACATCTGCTTTGCAGAACTTTGCAGAAAGGGGAAAACAAGGTTCACGAAGGCAAAGTGACTTGCCAAGGGCCACGTGGCCATGATTCAAAGGCCCTGGGGCCCAGATTCTTCCAGGACAAAGTGCTGCCTTGGACTCTGAGCTGAAAATCTGACCACAGGTCAACATCAGACATACCAGTCTGTCACTTCAGGAATCTACGTCCTCAAAGTTGGACAACATGTCCCTATCTCCAATTCCCTCCCCCCTACCTCTCAGCGTCCTGATTTCTCAGGATATTTACCAGTAGGGGTTCCGAGGTCACACTGGGAAGTCCTTGGATATATTTAGTTGGAACCAGCAGCGCTGAGCTCATGCACAGCAGCAGGGCTCTCCTTGAGCACTGCCATCATCTGTCTTGGGTCCTCATTCCCCCATAATCATGCTTATTAACCTTTCCAGGTTGACAATCATTCTCTTTAACAAAGGAAGTGGAAGAACATTAGAAAGAGAAGGCTTTAACTTTTTTTCAGGAGGCAGAGGGTGAGAGAGAGGAGCTTTTTGGCCAGGGAGGAGGTGAGCTTTTTGGCGAGGAGGATGAGGGGGAAACGAGGATGAGGGTGAGAGGAAGATGAGGGCGAGAGGAAGTAGAGGGGACGTTTTTAGCAAAGGCCAGCTTAGGAGTACCCTAATCTACACTAATAAAAGACAAAGATGCTAATTGATCATACCTTCACTACGCCCTAAGCCATGCCCAGCAGGCAATCAGAGTGACTATATGCAAATTAACCCAACCAAGATGGCAGCTGGCAGCCATGGAGCTGGAGCAAGCAGGAGGCTTGGTTGCCTGGGCGATGGAGGAAGCCAAGCTTCCTGCCTGCTCTGAGCCGGCTGTGGCCTCCGCTCATGGCAACAAAGTTTCAATTATAGAAGCTAAATAAATCCCAGATACCTGCTTCCAGCCAGCCTCCACTGGGAGCTTGGGTGGCTGGGGGTTGTGGCCAGCCTGCAAACAGCCATCAGCCCCTCACCCAGGCTGGCCACACCATCATGGGGTGAGGGTCCCCGCTGGGGGGCTTAGCCAGCCTAAAAAAGGCCCTCAGCCCCTCACCCAGACTGGCCAGGCACCCCAGCAGGACCCCCCACCCTGAAGGGGCTGTGGCCAGCCTGCAAACGGCCCTCAGCCCCTCACCCAGGCTGGCCAGGCACCCCAGCAGGACCCCCCACCCTGAAGGGGCTGTGGCCAGCCTGCAAACGGCCCTCAGCCCCTCACCCAGGCTGGCCAGGCACCCCACGGGGGACCCCCCACACTGAAGGGGCTGTGGCCAGCCTGCAAACAGCCATCAGCCCCTCACCCAGGAAGATGAAGGGGAGAGGAAGATGAGGGGGAGAGGAAGATGAGGGGGAGAGGAAGATGAGGGGGAGAGGAAGACGTTTTTAGCAAAGGCCAGCTTAGGAGTACCCTAATTAAGTTAATAACAATGTATCTACCTATATAGTTTAAGTTTAAAAAATTTGGCTCTCAAAAGAAATTTCAGTCGTTGTACTGTTGATATTTGGCTCTGTTGACTAACGAGTTTGCCGACCACTGCCCTAGAGAATCTCCTTTAAGCAATTCAATTTTCTGCTGACAGACCCAAGAGATGGGTTATCTGGGGCTGTTTCCTCTCCCTGGCTGGGGTGGGGAGGGGCCTCTCTGAGGGCCGGTGTGACAGAACCAAGACACAAATCCTGCCTCTCTGACCTCTCCAACCAGCAGATTTTTGCTTCATCTTCCACCATCCACGCTTTTCTTTCTTCTGCTATAGGAGGGACTGGAATCCTGCCAGGCTCTACCAACTAGTTAGGTGATGCTAACTTTCTGAGGCCCAGTTTCTCCATCTACAAAATGGGTACAATCATATCAACCCCAATCATTTAGAAGGCTGCTGGAAAGGGGTGCCTACATTGACTGCCCTAAGTGTTAAATAACAGTATGTATGAGTGCTGGTTTTGTCATCCACAACCAGTATCGGGAATGCTGATCAACAGCTCATAGGGCCAGCCCCAGTAGCCTCCATGTTGTGGGGGGCTGTCCTGCAGATGGCACTGTGGCACAGAGCATGTTCCTAGGGGCTGACCCTGGCAGGTGGGACAGCACTTAAGAGTTTGGCAATAGGTGGGTCTAACCTGGGTTTCCACTTCCTGTATGTCCTGGATGTATGCCCCCAAAAGGTCCCCCACTGTCACATTTGGTTTCTCATAGGGCCAGTTACCTGCTAAATCAGTGATCCTCTATTTCTCCTTTTCTACCCTCTCCATTGGAGAGAGCAGTGGGTCTCACTGGCTTCCTCTACCCAGGCCTCTCCTGTCTGACCATGACCTCTGACTTCTGGGAACCACTGCAGCAGGAGGTGTGTCTGTAGCCCCTTCAATCCCTTTGGAGCATCTTAGCATTTAAATGACTCCCCTGGGCTCCATCCATCCTTGTTCTAACTTTGCTTCATCCAGGATGAAGTGAGGTGCTGAGAAAGGACCTAAGCCAGTGCTAAAAGACAGTAGGCCCCAGGACCCACTCAGAAGACAAAGGCCCAGGCTAATGGGCAGAGCTTGACTCCCACACAGCCAGGTTGGAATCCCAGCCCCACCTCCAGCACTGTTGTGACAAGTTGTGGGGTGG